CTATTGCTGTGGAACAAATTACCCCAAAACTTAGTTGCATTAAAACAATGATAATCATTTATTATCTTTCACATATTTTTGTGGGTCAGGGTGTCAGACGGGGCACCACCAGAATGGCTTGTTTCTGCTCCTTGCTGTCTCCGATGTCAGCTGGAAGACTTGAAGACTGGAGGCTGGAGTCACGCGAAGGCTCATTCACTCACATCTAGTGACTGATTCTGGCTGTCAGATGAGACCTTAGCTGGGATTGCTGGCTAGAATACCTACATGTGGCCTCTCCAATTGGCTTATGTTTCCTCATAATGTAGTGGTAGGCTACAAAGGCAAGGAGGGAGAGGGAGGGGGGAGAGTGGGAGGGGGAGAGGGGGGGAGGGGAGGGAGGAGGGGGAGAGAGGGAGAGAGGGAGAGAAGAATCTCTCTTTACCTTAGCCTCGGATTTCGCATAACATCAGCATAGCATACTCCACTGAGTCACGAGGCCCACCCAAACTCAAGGGGTGGTGGAAACACAGGCCCCTCCCCTCAGTCGGAAGACTATTAGTCACACTGCAAAAAAACATGTGCAGTGGGATAAATATATTGATCCAAAGGCATCTTTGGAAAATACAATCTGCTACAGACTCTTTTGGTTTCATGTTACAAAATCCCAAGACTAACTAGTTTAAAGAAGAAATTTTTTGACTCACATATGTGAAAACTCCAGGGGAAGAGCTGACTTCAGATAAGGCTTGAATAAATCTTAAGCTATGTCACCAGATCCCAGTTTCTCTTTCTTTATCTCTGAGCTCAGCCTCTTCTGTGATTTGAGTCCCAGATTCTCCCCTTGTAGTGGCAAGATGCTGCCATAGCTTTATCTGCACAGCTTCTCTTGCTCAATTACTTCAGGAAAAGATCAGTCTGTTTCTTTATTTCACACAAACATCCCGGAAGTTGAGTTTCTTTGGCTCTAATTATCCTAACTGGTGCCCATTCCTGAACAATTCGCTGTCATCAGGGAAATGTTCTGAGTGAATTAGCCTTAGGCCTGAGTCACATATCCATCTTTTGAAGCTGAGTCAAGGTCAGCATCACCATAAGCCATGAGTCCTCTGCAGCAGATTAATTCAGCCCTGCCCCTGGAGTTTGTACATATGTGAGTCAGTGAATTTCCTCTTTGTTTAAGCCAGTTAGTCTTGGGTTTTCTGTAACATGAAACCAAAAGAGTCTGTAATGATGGCATTTTCCAGAGATGCCTTTGGATCAATATATCAGTCCCATTGCACCTACTCTTTTCTAGTGTGACCGATAGTCTTCCCACCAAAGAGTGGGGTCTATATTTCGTACATCGCAAAAAGTCTGGAGTCACATACCTATTTGTGTCCTTCCACTTGTTCAACGATTCGGGGCTGGTAGAGCTTTAATTCTCTTGATCTTTTTGTTTTTTCCCGCAAAATGTTTGCCCCAGTTCTTGCCATTATTTCTGTCTAGACATTATGTCTCCTTTGTGCCATATATCACATTGCCACTACTCACTGCAAAGTGATTGGGAAAGTGGACACAGGTGAGGCAGGCAAGGGACGGCTTGGAACGGTATTAAGTTATCCAGCCCACAGCCTGTCACATCAAGCCCTGGGTATGGAAATGGATCTGCTTCACCTGAACCACATGGCTGAAAGTTCGAAGGGAAGTCTCTTCCATAGCAAAACTAGAGTAGCAAAACTAGAGTGCACTTATCATAAGAAGGCTAAGGAGATGCTAGATGGCAAACAGAAGAAATAACCACCACCCCAATGTCCTTTTAATTCTGCAATAGTCTTTTCTTTCTGTGGGCACTTCCAAAGAAACTCTAGTGACCTCTTATTGGTAATTGCCAAATTTTGTAGAAATTTAAGTAATTTTTGCATTAGATCTCACTTTTGCATTTGACGCTGTTGTTTGTGTCCTCCTTTCTACAACTCACTGCTTCTTCACTGAGACTTCGTTTCCCTTACTTCTGTGACGGAGCTGTTTTGGTTGTCTTTAAACCTTGCTGTGCATATGATTTACGCATTTGAGAGGCCCCTCTGCTCACCTTGTCCCACACCCATGGGCCTGACTGCCGCCAAACACCTTTCTTATTTTGTCTGCTCCCTCCTCTTTGTCATGTTTCTTAATTTGACTGCTTAGTTCTGGCATTTTCATTCTTATTTCTAGAATAAAGAAATGTAACGTTTGTAATCTCCTTGTAAGTAGAGACTTGGCCCATCCCCATACATTTTGTTTTGTGGTGCTCTCCTTTTGGTAAATATCTAAATAGATCTTACTTTCCTTGAATTTGTTTTATAATATGAATAATACATATTCTGCTTTCTTTGTGTCTGCACTTGCCTGTTGTCTTCTCCTAAAGGTTGTGTTTAATGTTCCTGCTCATTCATATGTTGCACACACTTGACTTAAAAACATACACTTGACTTCCATGTAGTACACACATGGACCCATTTTACTCCTCACATTTATCAGTTTAAATGCCAGTGGCTGCACACCCGGGTAAACTTCTGGACTGCAGAATTCTGCTGAAGGTCATTTGGACCCCTCCCTCCTCTCAGAAGCCAGGCAAGGATGACTGCTTCAAGCCTGAAATTTCTACTCATTTTTGCTGAGCTCCTTGCCAATGTTGGAGAGTGATGCACTGGGGAAACAGAGTGGTGGAAAGAAGGGCATTGTCATGATTTCACCAACTTACATCCATTTGTGCCCCAAACTCTATGTCCCTAATGTACTTTACAGAGGCCTGTATTATGGATCTTAACCCACCCCAGCCTAAATTATATGAACTCCTTTCTGGGATGTTTGACAATGTACAAATAACTTCCGTACTTTCTCAGGAAACACCCGGTAAATATTAATTGACATAAGGATAAAAGAAGTAAACATAAATGTAAGTATTTACAAATAGTGCTGCCTGTCTTTTTTACCCTCTCACCGAGAGACTAACAGAAGCTGAGAGTAGCCAGACTACTTTCCAGGAGAAAGAATGGGGGCAGGAAAGGCGGAGGAGGGATGTCGGGGAGGCTGGAGATGGGAAGAAAGGCAGGCAATCAAATGTGCCGTCATCTGAAGAGTAGACTCTGGGACACAGAGCTTGGTAATGAGGATTTTCACAAAATAAGTGTATGTTTGTGATATTCTCCTCTGTGTTCAAGGGCATTCAGTAAAGATTTATACTACTTTTCAAGGTTTTTTTGGAGTCCCATTTGTGTTCTCTTGGATGCATCATTGACCTAATTTTGTCCTCAAAGTGACACGCTACATTCCAGTTAAGTAATCATTTTTAATACTAGTACTACTAATATCACCTACTCTTTATTGAGTGCCTATGATATGCCAACTCCATACTATTTTTGTAATCTCATTCATAGCATCAAAAAATGTTCTAATGGACTGCAAAAAATTTCATACCATTGTTAATTCATAGATGATTGCATTTAAAATCTATTCCTGAACTCATAAACTCATTCGACTACAGGGATCAGGCTCTAGTGAAGTGCAATGTAATTAACAGTGTAAAACTGATACTGACCATGGGGGTCAGGTGATATAAGGGAGGTGCAGAAACCAGTCACCTGACCAGTCCATGCCCCAAGGAGGTAGTGCCTACTTAGTCTCAGCCAAGTTTTGCTCTGAGGAAATGTGACCTCATTGTTACTGGACCTTCTGTAATTTTTCCAGAGAAATCAGAAATGCCTCTCCATATATTTCTTTTTTAAAAGACTTAAAATTTATTTTTAGCGAGAGGGGAAGGGAGGGAGAAAAAGGGAGAGAAACATTAGTGTGTGATTGCCTCTCACATGCCCCCTACCGGGGACCTGGCCCACAACCCAGGCATGTGCGCTGGCTGGCAATCAAACCCGTGACCCTTTGGTTCTCAGGCCAGAACTCAATCCACTGAGCCACACCAGTCAGGGCCCTTTCCATATATTTCTAATTTTAAATTTTTTGTTCTCTGAAAATTGTTGAATATAAATCTTTTGGGTAACCATCTTGTGGCCTCTCTGTATTAAAATGGGCCAAAGAAAAAAGATGAAATTAAAATTAGTGTCATTCAGTAAGAAACACTTAAGTCACTTGGTTCTTGAGAAAGAGAGAGAGAGAGAGAGAGAGAGAGAGAGAGAGAGAGAGAGACCAAGACCAGAATGAGGACAGGGTTTGTTGCAGGATTTTTTATAAACTTGGTTTCTTTATTAGTTTGCACACTTTGAGGTCTGTATTTCTCCAATTCAGCTGCTGGATTTCCCTAAAGGAAAGTGGGTACTGGATGGGAATGCACAGTGAAATCGTGAAGAAAAGTGCTCAAATGTAAAAGATAGGCTGTGCTCCAGCCAAGTGAGGCAACCAGATCTGTTCTGGGCTTCTTTCCACATTTCCAGCTATAGCGATTTCTGGGGCTGGTCCCTACTGGGGATCCAGAGGAGAAGCCCATGTCTTACAGTCCTCCCACCCGCATCACACACTCTGGCTGAGTTCTGTTTTCTAAGTCAGAGAGGAGGTAGGGATGAAGGAAGAGAATGGGAGTAGGAGGAAGGAAGAAATTTCTTTCCTCCTTCAGGCTCATATAATTTAAGAGCAGGGAGGCACCTTAAGCATTCTCCGTCCATTTTTTTAAAAAATCCTGTATTTCTTTACATCACAAAATTAAGATATACTTGTGGTAACGGATTGCTATAAATAGAAAGTAGACATCCCTTCCTCTCCTGCCTTCATTTGCAGATGGAGAAACACGCTCACAGAGGGAAGTGACTATGCAGTGTCACCTAGTTAGAATGCAGGGGAAGTTTTCATGGAGACAGACACCGGGATCGAGCAGGGTTGTTTCCCATGGAAAGAAAAGAGGCTGGAATGTTGAGAAGCTTTATTCAATTATCTCTTCTTATATCTGGGGAGAGACTGGGAAGAAGAACAAAAAGACTAGGGCTGTCTTTAAAAATATATATTAAGAGCTCATTGTGGTACTGTACTTAGACTTTTATATGTTTTTTTTTTCATGTCAGATGGGTAATGTGCCGATGTCGTAACAAGATCTGTGGGAGGCACATGTCACACAAGAGTATGAATGCCCAATCATCATGCTTATGAATTACAAAAGGACCGCTGTTTTTTTTTCAATGTAAGCCTTACTACCCCCCTGGGAGGTAGGTACGGTTATTCTATTATTAGAAATAAGGAAACTGAGGGTCAGAGAGCTAACTAACTTGCTCAATGTGACACTGCTAGAAAAGCAGAGTACCTAGAACCCAGGTGTCTCTGATCTTCACGTTTCAATCCCATACAGCACCTGTGTAAACTAAAAACAGGTGTCTCTGCTTCTGGGCACGTGAAGCTCTGTATCAAGTCTCACAGATATGGGGGTACATTCTGCTGCTCATTGGCTATGCACTCCAAGTTCATGGCCCTAAACCACTATGCAATATGGTTTATCAAAAATATGATGTTATTCTTGCCGTGGCTGGTGTGGCTCAGTGGACTGAGTGTCAGTTTGCGATCCAAAGGGTCGCTGGTTTGATTCCTAGTCAGGGCTCATGCCTGGATTGCAGGCCAGGTCCCCAGTAGGGGGCACGTGAGAGGCAACCACACATTGATGTTTCTCTCCCTCTTTCTCCTTCCCTTACCCTCTCTCTAAAATAAATAAATAAATAAATAAATAAATAAATAAATAAATAAATAAATAAATAAATAAAATCTTTAGCAAATATAATGTTATTTTTATTATGTTGAGTGCGTAGCAAATCTGCACATTCCTTTTCCATTTTTATTCTGAAGTGAGAGTGGGGACTGGAGATACAGTACCTGCTGAGGTACTGTAAGACTCAAAAACAAGAAAAGCCCTACTGGTCAGACACCATATCTCGGTCAGCAATGAAGAAAACCCTGGAAATCTGGATTCTAGGGCTATCTTCCACCATAATCTAGCTACATGCCTTGGGGTTCAGTTTTCTTATTTATATGGTGGTACACAGAAAAGATTGGGCCAAATGAATTCTAAGGTTCCTTTCAGCTCTGAGGTCCATGGTACCCAGAATGGATAGAGGTGCCCAGCCGGGAAATGTTTTAAATTCAGGCAAAAACTGTCCTGGCTGGTATGGCTCAGCTGGTTGAAGTGCCATCCCGTACACCAAAGGGCAGGGGGTTGCAGGTTTGATTCCTTGTAGGGGCGCATGTGGGAGGCAGCCGGTCAATGTTTCTCTCTTACATGAATGCTTCTCTCTCTCACCCTTTCTCTCTCTCTAAAATCAATGAACATGTTTTTAAAATATAAATAAATAAATAATAAATAAATAAATAAAATTAGCCAGAAACCTAACAAACAAATGAGAAGAGACTCATATGAAGAATAAGAGACAGGCAGACTAGAGAGATTGTTTAACTCAGTACATGAGACACTGCAAAGTGGTATCTGGTCTCTGCTGAAATGAGCCCTTGGCCCCTGAAGATGTCATTGGCCAGTTCTGGTGATTAGGATTCCTTATAGTGGGTCAAGGCTTGCTTTACTAGTCCTAGCAGTGCCAGGAGGACCATAGAGCCCATTTCAAATATCCTCTCCCAAGGTTGCCCTTTAAATATTAGAAATAATAAGTATATCCCCTCAGAGTTACCTCTTTTCCAGGCTACATGTCCTCTGGACTGCCATTCATCCCTCAAATGACATGGCTTCTAGTTCCTTGACTCATGCTTATTCATTCAACAAACAGTAACCAAGCATATCACGTGCCAGGTGCTGTGGGACTAACTGGGAATACAGAAGGTGAATAAACACAGTCCCAACACTCAAAGGTTTATTAGAGAATGGGAATGACAGACAAACAAAAGCTCCTAAATCCCTGCACCAACCCTAGTAGAAGGTGTGTAAGTACACGGAGAGTCAAAGATAGTCAATTTCACTCAGGAGGTCAGGAAGGCTTCTTGGAGGAGGTGAGACTTTTTCCATAAATCACTTTATCTTCCTCTTCTTCTAAGGACTTTACCTCCTTCTGTCTTCTTTTCTTGGCATTTCTCTAACACATCCCATTGGAGTGTTATGTTTCAGGAAAACTTTTAAAAATATATTCATCTGCCACCTTAGAAATGTTTTTATAAGAAGAAAATCTAGCAGCTTGTGACAAGAATGACTATTTCAGCACATGAAGTCTGAGATAATTTCACCAGTTCCCATTCTTCTTATAGCCCCTCCAACCTGGCTTCTTCTTTTTCATCATTCTTCTCTTTTTCTTCTTCCTTCAGTCTTTCTCACATTCCCCCTCTCAAGGCATTTTTACATTGTCATACTTACTCCTCAAAACAAAGCCTTTTTTATATATACATTCAAAGGGGTTAATGAACTTGGCAGAGGGAACAAGCTGGGAAGTGGCAGGAGCAGGATTTGAACCTCATTCTTCTAATAAATGTTCACATTCGATTACAGGGAAAGAGGTTACAGAGTTTCTACCGGACCCTTTGCTAATTCAAGAGTGTGTATTTGGAAACAAAATCATTTTCATCACCCTCCAGGCCTAACTCTCCCACCTAGTTGCCTCCTTCCTTCTGGAGTGAAATGAGCTCTCCTGATGGTTTTTAACCTGTTTCTGCTGAATGTACGTGTATCCACCCATTCGTCGGCACTTTCACATCGAATGGTGGTCTTCTCATGATGTCTTGAGCAGCTGAATTTGTCAGCCCTTTATCATGGAGGGATGCAGCAAGATATAATAAACACAGTTTATTTCTTAAACTTCAGTAATTTGCATACCACTCTTATGATATTTTACTACATTTCTGTACCAGTCACACTACTTTTAAAAATATTTAAATTTTTATTCACTCACCCTGTTAACTTAAATTTTAAAAGGAACTTTAGATCACTATAGAATGTCCTTATCCATAACATTAAAGTAAAGTGTACATTTTATATGTTTCCTAAACACTAAAATAAATGCATAATTACTAGTGTCTTTAAACAATTGTCTTGAACTGTGTAGAATAATCTCAGGAGAACAACAGTGAAACCAGAGCTGCTCCGTGCCAAACTCTAAGGGTGCCGTCTGCATTGTGCTCATGTGAGAGCTGTTGAGGGCACAGCCTATGATTGTACACATCAGCCCTGAGTAGATGTTGGGAACTCTCAGAAACCGTGGGAAATAGAAAGAGTACTTAGTGGGGGCCTGTACACCTGTGCTCTAACCCTGGACCTGCCACTGATGTGCTGTGACCACAGGCAAATCATCCACCTAGCTGGGCCTCCACATCCAGATCTGAAAAATGACTTGTTATAACCCCCTTCCATCATTACAGTCCTTCTTTTGAACAGCTCTAGTCATTTGAGATATCTTTCTGATGCTTCCCCTAGCTTTTACCCTGGGGTAAAGCCTTACTGTTACTGCAGTTCAGCCAGCTACAATGGGTACTTACAGACTGAGAAAAAAATTTCCTTGCTCCTGTGCTCAGGAGATAAGATGTGGCGTGTTTTCCAAAATGGGGTTAGTGTTGGGCAAGAGGGAAACTCTAGGAAAAATCGTGCATTTGATGTTATTGTACAAAGTCAGACATTATTGCTATAGTAAAAGATATTGATATTTGTGAACTTCCCACCCCGTTGGACTGGAGAGTAAACTCTGTGAAGGCAGGGGCTGAAAAAACCTCATAGTGTATTAATGCACTAGTTAATGTACTATCAATTAATGTTTGAAAATGAGAACAGGAAGGAAAAGAGAAGAAGAAGGGGAAAAAGGAAGGGAAGGGGAAAAGATGGGACTTGAGGGCTTACCCTTCTATTCCTTAGAATAAACTAAATCACTTTGGTTTATCACAGGAGTGACACCTACGTGTGAAAGGGGATTATTTCACTATTTCTGCTCCCTGTCTTAATTATTTCACATAGTAGAAATTGCATGTAGGATGTTTTTTCTAATCCTTTACCCACAGTTAAGACTATTTTGGACTTCTGGTCAAGATGGCAGTATAGGCAGATATAGCTTGCCTGTTCGTACAACCACATCAAAATTATGACTAAAATATGGAACAGCCATCACTCAGAAACATCAGAAATAGAGCTGAATGGAAGTCTGATAACTATGGAATTAAAGAAACCACATCCATCCAGACTGGTAGGAGGGGCACAGACATGGAATGGGCTGGTCCCACATCCACGTATGGTGGGTAAAATTCAGAAGGGATTCTTGGGAGTGAGGAGTCCCATCCCTGCACCAGGGCCCCCAACCCAGGGTTCCAGCACCAGGAAGATAAATCCCCATAACTTCTGGCTTCCAAAACAGGTGGCGATTGTATCAGTGGAAGAAATTTCTGGAGCCCCAAGCAGTTCCTCTTAAAGAACCCACACATGGACTTACCCTCTCAGACTCACTCCGTCTGAGTTCCCGTGCTGCAGTGGCAGCTTGGAAGGCACCAGTGGCATGCTGGGAGATGCTGAGATGTCTGGCATCAAGGCAAGCAGAGGCCATTGTCCCTTTTCTGAGACCTCCCCCCACAGAACCAGAGAACCAGCAGGCTGGTGCCATATGTGAGGCTCCATCAACCTAGTTAACACTGTTTGACCTGCCTTGGAGATCTGCAGAGACTCTGCCCCACCCAACTGACCAGCCCACCCAAGGTATTATTCCATATGAATGGCTGGTCTTGGCTCATGCTTCACAACTTCATAAATCTCAAACAAGCAACAGCTGCCCTCAGTAAGCCCCAAACCCAACACTAGCAGCAGCCAGCCTAGATTCACAGCTTGGCTTTGCCTGGGAACCTCGAAGCCCAGCACAAGTAGCAGTCATCTCAAGTTGCTTTATAGCTCATGCAGGATGGAACTGGGGCAGAACACAGGTGGGGACTGACCTTGGCCTGCACCACCTGGGAAACCCCAGAGCCTGCGCACCCAGTGGACAGGTACAGACCATGTCAGAGCACCACCCTGCCCCTGCACAGCTGATCCTCCATGGAAGGCAGAGGTAGGTGGTCAGTGGTCATAGCCAGTCCTTGCAGCTGACTGGCCTGGGTAAATCCCTTCCATTGACCTGCCAACAGCAATAAAGGCTCAACTACAAGAGGAGGGTGTGCTTAGCCCACACAAAGGGCGCACTTTGAGTACCAGCTTGGGTGAGAGGAGAAGCT